ATTAAACGCATGATGCCGTAGTCGGTAGACCATTCGCCTCGCATCTCTACAATACCGGGACAGAGGGAAAAGCAGGAGGGGGCGGGGGGCGGGGGCGGGGGGGGTACTCATACTCATAGTCGTGAATGCCGTAGTCGTTAGACCATTACCTCGCATCCCTGCAAAGCCGGGACGGAGCACGCGGGGTTATCACCGGACCAGGCTCTCACATCACCAAGCGCGAAGCGCCGTGAGGTATTCGGCGAGTCGCATGAAGGGTGCGCTGCATCCTGCTAAGGGTGTTCGGCATCTTGTGCTTACTTCCTTGCGTACGGATGGCAGCTGCGTATGACTTAATTTATTTTCTGGTGCTTTCACCTCCAGAGACAGTTGTAAGCACTGTGTAACCGCCTCGAGGATGCTTGACCATTTTAACACAACGTGGTGCGATCATCCCCTTTGCGCGGAGTGAGGGTTCTCGACCCCGCACAACATAACCTACTCGACCACCATTTATTGTTACCGCAAAAAACAAAACAAAGGCAATTAAAAAAACTGGTCACCAACATGGCAGCGGCGCGTGCGGAGTACAACCGTGAACAGAAGACATAGAGACAGCGACAAGAACAAACCGGAAAACAGCACTGAACAGTCCATTGTTGCTTGTAGTTAACTCCGCACCTCAGCCGGGGCCCCGAGAGAAGCACCCACCCTCCCCTGGTCCGCACGGTCTGCGTCTCCCCCTCCCGCCTTCCCTTCGCCGGGAGAGGTCTGCACGGCGGGACCTTTACCCCCTCCGCCGCCCTTGCGCTGCTTCGCCTCCTCTCGCTGCTCCTTCCAAATCGCCAATTCCTGACGATAAAGAAAACACGCACGAAGTTAGCGGTCGATGCTAAATATAAAAGACACACACACCAACACCGGGGACCTCACTCTCCGCAAGAGTTGCAAAACAGAGGTCTCAGGTCGAGGGTGGGCTGGGTGGGGAGGGTGATTGCCCTCTGTTGCTCTTGGTTTCTTGCCTTCGAAGGCTTTACGTGTGTCGGAGTAGGGCGGGGGATTGGACACCACACGACACAGGAGAAGGACCACGGACGGCGGCTTTCGGCGGTGCCTGTTGAACAGGTTATCTGTTCCCGCCGCAGGTCGGTTCAAATATCTCGGCTACAAAAGAACAACGCAATGCCGTGAATGCATTGCCAGAACACAGGGGAGATGCAAGAGGGTAGAAAAATATTGCAGCACGCTCGACAGGAACTGCTTCCACCACTTAGGGCAGCAACGATAAACAAAATGCAACAGCACGCCAACCCTCCCTCAAACACATACAATACGCGGGCGCGAATACAATACTCGTCTCCGAAATGAGGTGCAGCTTGAGGTTTCGAAACAAGCGGGATAAAAGATCCATCCAACCCCCCGGAAAAATCTTTCGGTAAATCGCGTCTCCCCTTCCTCGCTAAGGCTTGGCATTCTCTGCCCCCCCCCCCCCCCCCCCCCCCCCCCGGGCATTTTCTCCAGCTCCCAAAAATGTTTGTGTCAAAAATCACCCAACAAAACCAAAAAAACCTGGGGAAGGGGGGAAGGGTTTCCGTGGGGAAGGCCGGGTTTTTTTTAACCTGGTTTCCCCGGGGCTTCCCCTCCCCTCCC